AAAGTTCCAGTCTTGGGTAATAACACTGCTTATTTGCTATGAAATCCTATTTCTAATGCACGTCTACCACAGTAAAGTTCCAGTATGGTAATAACACTGCTTGTTTGCTATGAAATCCTATTTCTAATGCACGTCTACCAGTGTTATTACCACATACTAGAACTATACAGTGGTAGACATGCATTACAAATAGGATTTCAAAGGAAACAAGCAGTATTAATACCCTATATTGGAACTTTACAGTGGTAGACATGCATCAAAAATAGGATTTCAGAGGAAACAAGCAGTGTTATTACCCTATATTGGAACTTTACAGCTATTAATCAGAATGACAGTAAACTAGCGACTAAAATACTAATAGTAAGCAGTCAGTGCAATAGTGAAATCCAATATAGTTTCAAGATTTTGTCCTTGATTCGAATCTAAAATACTGTTATTACCCTAGACTGGAACTCTATAGCAATTAATCAAAATTATAGTGTAGGTTTGTTTTGTAAATGTCTTACCTTTGAAGCGTTTTCTTATTGAAATTGTTCTCTGAAATTTTGTCTTGGTTTTGTAGGTGGAGGTCAATGTGTGGTGTTTGTTTTTGAAAGTAGATCAAGCTTGGTGGTGGTTATGGAGTTTCGGTTTCAAGAGATGAAGAAGACACTTTGATGAAGACGGTGACTGAAGGGACGTTTGGCAAAGATGGTTAATTGAAGTCGCAGGATGGAAGTTACGTTTTTGTTTTCCATTTTTTTGAACGAAATTATGGTTTTGGAGATGGTAAAATCTTTGGGCTTTTTTATAAGTTTGGGCTGGGGTTGTTTTGGGTGCTTTTTGAGTTTTTTTTCTGTTGGGCTTGATAGTGGCAGTGCTTGTAATTTATTGGAACTTCAACACTAATTTGTTATTTAATAAATGAGTTTTGGGTGTGTTTATAAAGTGTTTTCCATATGGGGTTTTTTTATAATTTCAGCACCCATTTTAGGTATATTAGTGAAGCTCCCTATTTTTTTTACGAGTATAGCCGTCCGGCCGTACTATTTTATTAAAAAATTAAATAAATAAAAAAAGGACCGCTTAATAGCACCTAGGCTGACGCTTTTTTTTATTTTTTTAAATACAAATAAAAGACTTATGTGTTTTATTCGGCAAAATTTTGCCAAGATACAGCTGAAAAGTTCGGCCACTATATAATATTTTAATATATATACATACGTGTATTGTATGTTTGATTTTTTTAAAACGTGTATTTTATCAAGTTTTTGAGATGTGACGGAAAATGGAAGTATTATTGAAAAATACGTACGTACGTGTATATTATTCTTTAACTTCGCAATTTTTTTTTAGAACCTTTCCTATTGAGAGGAGCATAATAAACTCACACACAAAATATAGGTGCTAGGACTCAAACTCAGAACTTTGTCTAGAGGAGCAATTACTCCGAACCACTACACTAGTGAGTCCTTTATCGTTCAATTTTTAATATAAGCTCTAAGTTGTACCCTTTTTATTTATTTATCAAAATTAGAAAGTAAAGAATATAATTATTACCGCGTAGAATATGATTATTAGGTACGATAACTCAGATTCAAAAAAAGAAATGAAATCAAAATAGTAATGACTTGAAGTCAACTCACAAATTATCTTCATCAAATAAAAGTCAAGCTAAAAGTGACTTTTGGTCCTTATAGTTTGGCACTTCAACCACTTTTGACCCTGTAGTTTCGCTTCCGTCAATTTTGACCCTGTAGTTTCATATTTGTAGCAATTCAATGACAAGTTAGTATTCCTGTCAATTTCTTTGACGATGCAAGGGGCAATTTCGTCAACCAAAATCTTTGAGCATAAAAGCTCATATGAAACTCCCCTAATTTCATATTAGGGCTTGAAATTGGTAATTTGGGTTTAGGGTTCTTCAAAAATTAGGATTAGTGGTTGAATTTCGAGCCCTAATATGAAATGGGGAGAATTTCAGATGAGCTTTTACGCTCAAGGGTTTTGGGTTGACGAAATTGCCCCTTGCATCGTTAAATAAATTGACAAGAATACTAACATGTCCTTGAATTGCTACAAATACGAAACTACAATGGCAAAATTGACGGAATTGAAACTACAAGATCAAAACTTGTTGAAGTGCCAAACTCTAGAGACCAAAAATGACTTTTGGCCTAAAAGTTAATGACAACTCAGTTATGAGAAAATCAGGAGAATTGAATAGAAATCGATAATTCTTAATTGAAAATCAAGAGATTATTAAACCCCTAGAACTTCCAGGATGGAGCAAAAAACAATAGTAAAAATCTATTATTTCATAAGAAATGTCGATTGAAAAAAACCAATTTAAATGTTACTATACAAATATGAATTATGCATCATGGTTTCCCTACAAATGTCGATCAACCCTAAAACCCGTCGGAGGCCAATCATAGGGTGAGTTATTAATTTGTCGTATCTGAAATTATATAAAAGGAATCATGTCTCTGTATATTCTCTCTCTGTATCTAAGCAAGCTAAAACGTGAAAGAGTATACACGTACGTACGTATTTTTCAACCCTGAACTAAGGAAACAAACTAAATTTAGTAACAAGATAATACACAAAGAGTTAAAGGCAAATTAAGATCTTAACGGGGCCTGTAGACTCGAACCCAACGAAAGGGGAACTTAGCTGAGACCATACTAAGACAAAAGGAAGAGGCGGAATGACGTCAGCAGTTGAGAGAGGTTGCCTATGATGCGGGCTTTATTGGACCAGGAGGAAATGTGCATGAGCCTTGGGCTACTGGCCAAAAGGAGATGGCAGACGATAATCAAGCTATGAGTTTGGTACAATGGATTGGTGACAGGGAGGTACAGGTCTCCCTTGAATAATGAGGGGAAATTGATCTCCATATGGCTATGAAACCGACCCATGAAGTGGGGAATAGTGAAGTGGTGCGGTTACAGCATGTTCCAACACAAAAAGAGGTAGCCCTCAGATCCGGTGGGTTCACGCTCTTCTAGAACTCTGACCCTTTTAACCTAGGACCCTTGATAGAGCAATCATGTCAAGGTGGGGGAAAAAGGAAGCGGGCGATTGAAGGAGAGCAAGAGATTGCGCATGAGGAACAAGATGAGAGAAACAAGGTGTAACGGATGACCAGTTTACAATCATATGAGGAGGTGGAGACCACTCGTGAGGGGTCTCCACAGTCGCCATGAAAATCCTGGTGTGGAATTGTCAAGGTATTGGAGGAGCATTGACAGTTCCCAACCTCATGGAGCAAAACAAGCTCCATTCTCCTGAGGTGGTAGTACTACTAGAAACTAAAATAAAAGGATTTCAACTTGCATTTTTGAAACGTAAACTAGGAATGCAATGCATGCATGGGGTTGACGCAAATGGGCTTAGTGGAGGTTTGATCTTTATTTGGAAGGATCCCCAAATAGTTGTTGTAGCCAAGTACTCTGATTATTACATTGAGGTTCTAGTTACAGATGCTCATCGGAATGTGTTGTGGCATTTGATAGCGGTGTATGCAAGTTCCAAAGATTGCACCCGAGAAAAATAGTGGCACATCCTTGAATCTAAACTCCAGCAATATACTGAACCAGTTTGTATTATTGGTGATTTTAATGATATTTTGTAGGATACAGAGAAACAAGGAGGCTTACCTTGAACAACAAGCAACATGCGTGCTTTTCGTACCTTTGTTAGTAACTTTGTGCTGGTGGATGTGGGTTTTATAGGGTACCCATTTGCATGGAGCAATCGCCGGGAGGGATGCAGAATCTAAGAAAGATTGGAACAAGCTTTGGTCTCCCCATCTTAGATTAACGTGTATGTTGATGCAACGTTGTTCTACATATTAAGTTCGGGCTCCGACCATGCATGGCTTATCTTGGACCCGGAACCCAAGCGGAGTCGAGGACAACGCTGATTTATCTTTGACCCAAGGTGGAAATTAGAGAAGGCGTGTAGGGAGGCAATAAAACAGGGATATTCTTGTTTTCGATTGGTAGAAAAGCTTAAACAAGTGCAAATCAATATTTTAAAATGGCAATGAGGGGCAAAAACTAATACCCAAAAGAGAAATGAAGCAACAAAAGCCATACTTCAAGGTTGTTATCAGGCCAGAGACTATGATCAGGATAAAGTTTGGCACTTAAAGGTGCCTTGACTGATGCCATACGTAGAGAGGAGATGTATTGGAAGATAAAATCAATAAATCAATGGTTGCAGGAAGGAGACAAAAATACGAAGTTCATCCATGCGAAAACAGTCCAGCGGAGACATGGGAATAAAATTCGAGGGCTTGAAGATGAACATGGAGTATGGTGTGAGGAGAAGGGAGAGATAGAAGGGATTGCTTTACGATACTTTGAAAGGCTTTTCACATATAACCAAGAGATTAATCTTGAGGAGATTATGGTATATGTTGACTGCAAAATTACTTAGTAGCAAAATGAGGATCTATCGGCGCCTGTAACTAGTGAGGAAATAAAGTGGGCTGCATTGCAAATTAATCCTATCAAGTCCCCCAGACCGGATGGGTTAACTAGGAGTTTCTACTAGAGCTATTGGGACATACTAGGGTCGGATGTCCTGGACGCAAAAGATGAGTAAAATCAGAGATGTAGAGTTGAAATTGGACATGGTCAAGGCGTATGATCATGTAGAATGGCGGTTCCTAGAAGCAATGTTGCGGAAGCTTGGGTTCACGGAGTAATGATGCCAATGGGTGATGGAGTGTGTGACAACGGTGAGCTACAGTGTTTGTTACATATATGCCCTTAAAGCTACTAATTATGTAATAGTTAGTGTTAATGACATCTCTTGTAATGACTTATTAAGTTATTATGGGCAACACTACTACAAAAATGGAAAAAGACGACAGTAAAACAACGATGGAAGAAATAAATATTATCATTGTTCAAAAATCAAGATCTATTGGGGTATTTTTAAAATACGATGCCTCAAACTCAAAAAGCATCGTCTTATTAAACAATGTTATTTCCAGATATGTAAACACTTAACCCCTAAACAATGACAATAGGAATAAAGCTATAGACGTAGACATTAAAGACAATGTTTTACCTAGACTGCTGCCGTGTTAACTTGTACTTAACCACGACGGTAATTGTTGTCGTGACGACGTATGAAGTTCTCATGTACTATGACGGTAATTATAACATTACTGTTGTGTAAAGTTATAGTTAGCTGTAAGACCCTTAGCAAGTGGCACAGGTCATGGCATGGTTTTGATGATTTACACCATGCCAAGGCAAGTGGAGCGTGTAGTAGTGGTGCACGTTGGAAGCAAGACAAGGTCGGAGGAAAGGAGTTTTGGGCTAAGAATAGGCAAATGTGCAGTGCAATCATCACATGCAGCGCGCAACACAGATGTTCAATTGAGGCTTTTGGATGGATGGATGCAGATGTTTTGGAACGATATTTATTATCTTTATGTGTATTTTTATCATGGGTTGTAACTTGTAACTATAATTTGAATTTCTTGCTTTGATGTGTGTTTTTGTGGTTGGTTGATGATTGTATTAATTCTGATTATGTATTTAAATGTGGAAAAGTTATGTATAGAAAAGAGAAAACATTATATTTATATATATAT